GTATGTAGAATATAATTTGTGTGTTTGTGTGTAAATGTAGAATATAATTTGTGTGTTTGTGTAATATCTGTAAATATCAGTTATTGGCCATAACACCAATAATTATATTGGATATCGGCTGAAATGTCCATATGGTGCGTCCCTAATTTAAAGGCAGGGAAACACCTGGTTAAATTTGACATCATGATTAACCACAAACACCTGAAGCTGGCTCAGAGAACTCTGATTTTAGAAAAAAATCAAAGTCAAATGTAGACATCTTTAAAAGACCCCCCCCCCATCCCCCTCAGCAGCTGCGGTCTGCTTGCACTTCCACCCACGTGTGATTAATACAGATTATTTTGTGTGAATTATGGATATTTGATGCTCATTATACAAGTAAACATCTGAAGGGGTTGACACGTGGACTCTGAAGTCCCGGGCTGGTTGAAGCTGTGCTGCTGCAGGTGGACAGGTGCAGCTGCTGCCCCTCACTTTAAAACCAGTCAGGTGATCTGTGGTGGTGTGTTGTACTCGTGAACTCACAGTGCTACAGTGGAAATGCTGCGAGCTGCTTTTAGAAATATAATATATATAAAATACGACATAATCCTCAGTGGAAAATAGTCCAGGAAACGCTGAGGGCTTTCCTGGGAGGTGTTCACCTGAGTGAAACTGACCCCCCCCCTGGCCCCAACCCACCCACAGAGAGAAAAAAAGGCAGCGCTGTCAGTCAGACGGAAGACCCGCCCTGCTCTGTTCTGATTGGATAAAACTTTGACTGTAGTTCTCTTTGGGTTAAAGTACCATCAGTTTAATCCCTACGTGGTTTTAACAAGTTTTCTTCCCCTTCATTCCCCTTCACCCACGGCAGACATCTTTAATCTAGGTCTAGTTATTGTTTGGTTGTCCACCGGACAACTGGGAGGCGGCCACTCAGAGCCAGGCAGGGGTCTAAGTAGAGCAAAGAGGTCTGTAGTTCAATGCCACAGGCATCACACAGACCATTGTCATGGAGTCCCATCACCATTTTGTGGCAGTTGATCAGATTGTGCCCAGTTAGGACTCCAACCAGTGTACTTAGAGTTTTCTTTGTCAGGGAGATGAGAGCTTTCCAAACCTTAGATTTGAGTCATTAATCAYTTCCTGTGCCTGTCTACAGTCCATCAGCTCCCCCAGAGGATTGAGTGTTGACGTCTGATCCAGGCCTGTAGGGCAGTCCTACACACTGTTGTTGAGGTACCTACAACAGGCTCTGGGGTCAGATTTATAAAAGATTGCGTGGAAACCATACTAAAAGTGAACGTACGGCCAAAAGGTGAAAATGCCGTAAGCCAAAAAAATTCAGATTTATCAAACCGTGCGTACGCACGTCTCTGTGCATCTTCCCTTTGTAGAGGTCCCTCCTCAGGTTCTACCCTCTACACGCCCACACTCAACCATAAACAGTCAATGTAAAGTACCTCATGAATGTTAAGATGTATTTAAATCAGTCAGATGATCAGTGATTGGTTCAGACAGGTGCTGACTGACAGCTGCTCACCTGAACACAATGTCTGGAACTGACACAGATTTTACTCATTTTGCTTTAGAGCAGAGGAGCCCAAAGTGGGGCC